GATTGTTACATAATGTTCAACAGTAAAACAATACAGAACAACCCAAGGCAGAAATATGAGACTCCATAATCCAAGGGAAATGGTGCCAATATAAATCAAGCACTTAGGAAGACACCTACTGTAATAAGCAGACAATGACTTAAAAACTACTATGAAGACATTAAAGATTTTATAATATAGATTGAAAAATAGTGCATGAAGAAGACAAAGGGACAGCCCTGTAATCCCAACTACTCAGCAAGCTGACACATGAGGATTCCAAGTCTGAGGGCTTCTTAGGTCATTTAGCAAGATCCTGACTCAAAATAGAAAGAGGGCAGTCTCTGCTCAGGACTATGGATTTAACCTCTATTTCTTAGATTAGGCTCTTTTATACATACATATGGATTAAATAAGAGAGATTAGAACTCTTTTGAAGAATTTGGGCCTACTTTTGGGTAAATGACACAGAGTTAGTCTTTCTTTTATGAAACTTCCAGCCAAAGCTACTAAGTCTGCTATGCTCCTGCTTACTGTGAGATGTTCAGGCCACATAGTGAGTTTACCAAAAGAAGTTCTGATAGTATGCTCAGTTTTTCCAGTTGAGTTACAAGAGAAAATCCATCTTACTGTGCACTAGACCACATGGTTGTTTTGAACTACTCTACTTTGGAGTAATTTATTATGCAGACAACCTAAAACACTGATAAATAGTAATACTTGCTGTAGAGAGATGCTTTGTGCCGCGCCTTAAAATATGGCGCTGGCTTCTGCCTTCCACACCCCGAATGGTGAGGGCTCTCGGTTGTAAATAACTCCATACATGGCTAAGGCTAAGGATCTGGCTTGCTTCCACGTTTCTGAACCTATCTGCATTTCCCACTGTAGCATGCTGGAGTTGGCTACCCAGAGGCTATTTTAGCTGTGGGCTGGCTTTCCCCAGGGTCAGAAGATTATTCAAGGTTCCTGATTAAACTGCATTGGGAAGAGTCCGGTGTTGTGTTTTCTTTGCTGGTCAAAGCGGACACAACAACTTGCCTGTTCATCCATACAACTGAATTGCTGTGATAAAACAGCATACATTTGCTTTTTTAAATTTTACATTAAAAAGGAATATGCTTGTAAACCATTTATTCCTGGCTTAGAAATCTTGTTTTTGCTTTCTCCACCCAGAAAGTTCTTCCCCTTCTGCAGCTAAATCAATGCTATCATGCTTTTCATAGTAGTTTCTAATAAAAGAAACATTTTTACAAACAGAATGAAGGGGAATCTTCAGACTGTGGAGGGCGAACAATATGGACCTATGTGTGTCTCTGTTCCTTATTGGCTGATGCCTCTTTTAAATTCTATTTTTTAATAGAATTTCCCACTTATGGCAAAGATCCCTACTCCCACTTTAGGGTGTGATTCTGAGAATTTTTATATTGACCAATGTCTATTGTTCTATTTGTAATGGTCTGTCCTGTCCACTGCCGAGGCAGGCAGATCTTCCTCCCTGCTTACAGCCCAAGCCCTTTCCTTTCCGTCTCTCTCCCAAAAGAGGTAGTTGCTGCTGTGGCTCCTCTCCTCTCCTCTCCTCTCCCCTCTTCCCCCCTCCTCTCTCTCTCTCTTCTCTTCTCCCTTCTCCCCTTCATCCTTTTCCCCTCCATAATCCACTAAATAAATATCCAACCTCACTCTGCATTGCGTGCCTATCCATCTCAGTATCTCACTTACCATGCGGCTCCCTGCCTAGGACCCACTGGCCCTCATGGCCTGCGGGCACTCAGGATCCCTGCCAGATGGCCCGCTGTGGTCTCGTGCCTGCTGTGCACTGCAACTACTTGGGGAACAGTGCTGTTCTGTTTTATTTTTACCATAGCATTGGTGCTTGTGTCTTGGCCAGGCTCTTCTGCCTGCGGGTGGGCCGGCTAAGGACACATGCAACCCTGGGCTCCAGAACCAGGTTTCTTTATAACAGCTCTGCACTCTATCTGCCTGAACGCCGACCTCTACACATACCAGCAGCTTTGGTGGTGAGTTTTCCCCTTCTAGCCCCCAACCACTGCCTTCACAGCTGCAGCTGAGCCCTTTGCTAACATTCATCTCTGGTTGCTTTCCATAGCTAAAAATGTGACCCGATGACCAAGGGTCAGTCCCCCCCTCCCCCTGCGGTAGTGCTGCACACACTGTGCAGTGCATTCGATTTGGGGGGCCCAGGGTCCCCTGGATTTTTCTTTCACCTTTCTTTTTTCAATTCCAGCCTTTGCTCCCCACCATGGCTTGTAGCATGGCAGCTCAGCAACAGGGTGGATCACGCCTCCAGGCAAAACTCCCATGGCTCAAAAAAATTTGGCTTCTACAAACATGTGACTGCCACCGTCAGGTGACCTTACTGCCATCTTAACTGAGAGCTAGGTTAGGTGACCAAGTTCTGTCATCTTTACTGAGGTATTCCCTGCCTGGTTCCCCATTGCTGACTCTGTTACATGTGTGTTTTGTACAATGGAATACCTTTGGTAGGGCCTACCAAGACCATCCACTTTGCCCAATTCCTGTTCACTGTATGTGTGTGTACATACACATAACTTAAATGCACCTATGTTTACCGTTAAATGTTATAATTGTCTGTTCCTTGTATCTCATTCCAGACTACAAAGCAATAAGTCTCATGTTTTAAATTGGTATGTACTTTTAAGTCTCTTAATTCCCCCCTTCTTTATCTGTTGAGAGCCAGTATAGTCAAGCTTGGACCCAGGCTCTCCAGGCAGATTCTACAACTTATCTATGCCCAGTAAACAGCCCTCAACTGCTCAGAAATCTGGGGAATATGGCATTTAAATATTTAATTATTAAAAAAACTTTTCATAACAAAAAGAGACAGGCTGGCTCCTGGCAGCAGCACTCTATTTCCTCCAAAGAAGACAGAAGACAAATGGACACAGAATAATGTCCATCTGCAATTTGCTTCAACTGCCAAGCACTGACCACTGGGCAAAACTGTCTTTCATCTAAACTGAAGATCTCCAGAATCGTTGAAATTGACAGCCTAGCTACTCAGGTCAAGGTAGGCTTGTCTTCCTACAGATTTCTTAGCCCACAGGATCTTCTGGAGTCTGGCATGTCCTATGCTGAACAGTAAAAGGCAAATATGGCCCCCAGCAACCATGGAGGACCCCAAGAAGTAGCTCTAGGTGCCAAACAAGTAAGTTATCTGTCGTTTTTAAATCAATAACTCAAGTAAAATTTTATCCTTCTCAAAGATCTCAGTTGCAGTTTGACAACTAAGAGTTTTTATTGTTTAAAAGGACAACCTCAGCAAACAAATTTCAGTAAGTTACAAATACAATTTAGGTTAAGGTGTGTACATGCAAGTTATAAAGGTGTGAGGACAAATACAAATAATCAAATTTCTCTCTCATGTTGTCTTCCATAGTCTTAAAAATATTTTTCATTATGCAAAAACATCTGTCATAGTCATTCTGATGTCTAAAACTTATGTTTTAACAAACCCCCAAAAATCTTGTAAGTTCCAGGGAGCTGAATTAAATGATCCACCTTAAACAAGTCTGATACACCTTCCTCAATTCCCTGGTCCTAATTTTTTTTCCCCTAAACTTAACTTTGTCCTCTGTTCTTCCAATACCTTAAATAGGTTTTAAGAAACACCAGACATCTCCATACCACAAACATCAGACAGGAACAAAGAAACCAGATACCTCAGTATGTGACCAGCACCCAGTTTTCTCAGGTACCTCCTCAAGACAGCTACCACAAATAAGCAGGAAACAGTCTTGAGAATTCACCACCCCAATTCCTTTAACCTGTTGTCCCTAACCTCCTGCCTTTATATGTGTGTGTGTGTGTGTATATATATATATATATATATGTGTGTGTGTGTGTGTGTATGTGTATATATATATATATATATATATGTATATATATATATATATATATATATATATAGAGAGAGAGAGAGAGAGAGAGAGAGAGAGAGAGAGAGGAATGTAATGGTCTGTCCTGGTCCTTTAAGAGACAAGACCTGCCCACACCCTCCATCCTGCCTCGCAAGAAAGCAGGCAGGCAGGCAGATCTTTCTTCCTCTTTGAAGCCCAAGCCCTTTTCTTTCTGTCTCTCTCTCCCAAAGAGGTTGCTGCTGCAATGGCTCCTCTTGTCTCTCCCGTTCCTCCCTCCTCCTTCCCTCCCGCACTCTCTCCCCCTTCCCCCTTTTTCCTCCCTCTCCCCTTCCCTTCCATAACCCACTAAATAAATATCCACCCTCACTCTGCATGGTGTGTCTGTCTGAGTCTCTCACCTGCCACACGGCTCCCTGCCTGGGACCTCGTGTCCCCTGGTGGTTTTGGGACCCGCTGCCCACTGCTGCTACTCGGTTATCTGCAGTTTTTCATTTTTACTATAACACTATTAAAACTTTTTATATCAATTCTAGTCTGGTAAGTATCAGTACCCTGGCCTTGTTATTTGTAAGTCCACAGAAGGCTCTATTCTTTTTCTCCCATTTGCTAGTTTCTCATAATTCACCACTCACTAAATAATTTGATATATGATAGTTTTGGTTCTAACTTAACAATTATTATTTAGGTTTCTTTGAGGTGGGGCATAGAAAGATGATTTAACAAGTTATCCACATATATTCAAAAGTACTGTATGTGCCAACTCTGCGTGTTTTATGCAAAGCAAATAACGTGGAAACAGATTTCCTAAGACACCTACTGAGCATTAACTACTTGACACAGCCACATAAAGCTACAAGTCTGTGTTCTCTTAAATACAATATTGGGGTGGGGTAAAGCGGAGTGTTCTGAGGAGTCAGTATTTTCTCACCAACTCATGGCAACTACCTCGAAAGTGCTTTTCTGGAAATCGTTCCTAGTTCCCCAGCGTGGCCACTGCGGGCAGTACAACCGGAAGCCGACGGTTCCTATGGGGCAGTTTTCTGGGGGATGCAAAGGCGGGACTTCCCTTCCGGAAGGAGCTCGACCGGCTTGTGCGCGGGACTCTCCCTCCGAGCATGCGCAGCGCTTAGCGTCACCGTGGCCCTAGCAACCGCAGCACCCGCCCAGCGGTGTCCTGCAGAAAGCGCTCCGGGTAGGGCGCACAGAGCGGAGGTAGTGTGGACCGCGAGTTCGGCGTGGAGCAGGTCGGCCTTTCCTCGGGTCGGGTGGCTGGGACTGGGGGCCCCGCGGAGGTCCTACTGCGGGCAAGTGCCGCGATTCGTGCCTGTGGGGACAGATTCAGTGGTTTGAGGCCTAAATGACGATTTAGCAGGCTTCCAACTCGGGGAGCTCAATCCTGGCAGGGCCAGCTCCCTGTGAGCGCCATTATGTAATTCAAGCTTTGGAGTGGTTTGAGGGTGGTCACGGAAGGAGGAAGACAGGGGTGTGTATACTGTTACCATCAGCCAATAAGCAGAGGCGTTTCTTGTGTCTATTTCTTGGGAATGTAAGACAAGACTTTGCATTGATAGTTCCACTTGGTTGGATAAGGGTAGCGATGCCTACCTAACCTTGCAGCATTTCAGGACTGTTTATGATTGGACTCCAAATTAAAACTTGTAAGACACACTGCCTGTCATATAACCTGTTCTGTGGAGGAGGCTTCTAGTTTGTGTTTAAAAAAAAAAAATGGAGGTGTCTCGGATGTTTAAAAAAGTGGTTATTGTGTCTGTACAAATTATATGACCAATTCTTAGTACTTTCACAGATATTGAAAACAGTTTTGTGTGATCCTTTATTTAAGATAGGTGAAATTTAAAGACTGTTCCCTTAGGAGGCAAATCAGCTTACTGTAATGGAAAAGCTAGCCTTTTACTTCACTTTGAGCAAAATAAAGTTAAGTATCAGTCTGCCATCTGTGCCGGGCTGTGCAGAGCCCGAAAGTTGAGCAGTGAGATTCATCCTGGATGCCTTTTACAGAATGGTTTTAATTTTGTTGACAAGTATTTGAATCTGTCTAAAAGTATAAAAAAACAATCATAAATAGGTAAATCAGAAAGAATTCTACTTTTGCCAGAAGGAAAGTTTTCCTGAAAGGAGCCTGTAAATGAATACATTTCTCCATATCAAATATGTGGACCCAGTAATAAGTACCCAGAAGTGTAAGGCTGGGCTGTGTCTGTGGATTAATAAGGAACTGAATTAGAATCTGACTTTGCGCCTAAATATAGATGTTATGTGCAAAGGAGACAAGATGAAACCGCATGAATATGATTAATTGGAGACATTGGGTAGAAGGAAGAATTATAAAGTAATTTTTCAGCCTAAGTTGCATAATGAATAGATCAAGATGCTCGTTATTTGTTGGTGTCTTGGGAATAGCCATTATTTCCCAAGTCTTTCCAGTCCCCCACCACTCCAGCTGTGTCTCTCTTCACGTATGTAGGTATGCACTCACATCCCCCATGACCTCCTTTTCATTAATTGTCATCACACACATGCATATACATAACCTGCACAGAAAATATTAAGTGGGGAAGTTCTTACATTATTATGTCTTTACTAGGGAATCTGAAGGGTATGCACTTTTGAAAAGTTCAAAAGTCTTAAGATCATATATTTCACCTTATGACATATGTATTCACAAATTCAATTGTCAGTAGCTGTCTCAGCATTAGCACATGTGTTATGGTTGACCATATTTCAGCCATAACTCCAGTTATATTTGGAGCAGAATATATGTCGTAGAACGTGTGTATGTTAGGAAGAACAGACTGTCGTGTTTCTTCTGCTCGCACTCCATAATCATCACGGATACTTGTGATCGCAAGAGGTGTGGGGATTTCCCCCCAGCAGGAATTCTGTGGTGGATGCTAGCGGATGTCCTCAAATTCTGCCCTGACATTACTGAAGACAGTGTCAGAATCCGCAGGCTGACAGTTCAGTCCCCAAGATTGCTGCATCCTCATAGCCACACACAGGCTGGGCCTTCAGAACTTCCTCCCAACTAACTACAGACTGAGATTACTTCAGCCCCTGTTTAGATGCTTTTGATTTGCTCATGTGACCCACAGATCTTAGGAAACATTAGTGCTTGCACTTACTGGTTCTTATGAAGGATATTTTCATAGAATGAAACATGCAGGCAGGTAGGAGTAGGGAAGGGCCCCATGCTCAGTCACTTCCTCCCAGTGCAGTTGAGGTGTACTGCCCTGCAGTGTGTGGATGAGTTCCCCGTGGGTGAGCCCCTGCGTAGACAACTGCCCAGAAGCCCCTACAGAGAGTGTTTTGTAGGCTGACTTTGTAGCAGAGTGAACAGGAAACATCAGGGTCTGTCAGGTTCTTCAGCTGCCCTCCCTCCAAGGTGTAGGGCAGAACCCATTTTGAAATGGGCGTTTGTTCGTCTTCTGTGAAAGTGGAAGAATCTAAAGTTAGACTTCCTGTGAGCTGCCCTGGGACGGAACTTTAAGCCAGAACAGTGGTCAGAACCAGGGAAGAAGAAAAGCGTGTGTGTTCATAATAGCTCATAGTAGCCAACTGATTTTTCGCTCACACCATTGCAGCTTGTTATTTTCATTGGGGTTCACCGTGAGAGTTCTGTCATGGTGTCAATTCAACGCTAGAGTCTACGTGCTTGAAGGGTTTTTTTTTTTTGGTATGATATAAACAGAAATTCATTATATTAATATTTTTAAATCAATTGCCATATTTGAGACAACTTAGTACTATCAAAATGGACCACCGGTGTCTAAATTTTATGTGTGAAGTGATTCTTAATCTAGCACGTTTCCATTTTCTGTTGGCAGGACAGTTTTATTTGTAACAACAGTACAACATTGACACTTTCATTCCTTCTCCTTTTAATTTTTACAGTGCACCTATAACAAATGTCTTAGAAGCAGAGCATTTTGGTTTAAAGAAAGAATGGCTCTCAGTCCATCTGTATTCCCTCAAGAAAGTGAAAAAAATCATGAAAATTGTGTGGAAACGAAACAATCACAAACTGCTTCCGTCGCTTCAGAAGACCCGCTTCAGAACTTACGCTTAGCATCTCAGGAAGTGCTTCACAAGGCCCAGCGGAGTGGGAGGTCACGCTGCCTCCAATGCGGTGGCTCAAGGATGTTCTACTGCTACACCTGCTATGTCCCGGTGGAAAATGTGCCCACCGAGCAGATTCCACTTGTGCAAGTAAGAGACTTGTTTTAAAGTAGAAAAATGCAAGTTTTTAAGATAGCTTATGCCTACTCTAATACATTGGATGAGCTCGGAAGTGAATTGTATTAATGGATAATTTGACACCAGTGAAACTCTATCTTTTTCTTGTTTCTAGAAAAATCACTTGAGTTTGAAATAAGTTATATAATTTTGATGACATTAATTAGTTTAAAAAATTAATTACAGAAGACAGTTTTATAGTCTCACTTGAAGCAGCTTCAAAAATGACTTCAAGTCCTTGGGAAAACATTATAGGTAGAATCAAGGTGGGGGTTTGCCAGAGGTTTTGTGACTTTCCCCATCGAATTTGTAGAATGGAGCAGATGGCCATGGCCAACTCTAAACTAAGCTAAAATGTAAAGGGCTGGGCCCTTCACATTGGACCATGTGTAATTACGGTGATCTCAAACCACTTGGAAAGCTGATTTACATCCATTGCTTTTCATGGTTTGTGGTCTTTATCAAGACTTTTTGTAAGTAAAGTGTTAATAGATCATTTATATGTAATTAAAGAATTTATTATGTATGTGTTAACTTGTCTAGCATTGACCCAAATGTGAGAAGTAAGTATATTAAGTGTGATCAGCATGTATTACGACTTTAGAGAATTCACTTCTACACCTAGCACAAATGTGACTTGTCACTAATAAATTGAAGTTGTGTTCAGAGTGTGTATTGTGATGTTTAATGTTTATTTAGACTTGAACTATGAAAGACATTTTAATGCTTATTTTGTTATATGAATCATCTTGCAAGTCCATGGTGTCCTGGGGGTTCTAAAATCACACATAAAAATGAAGGCAAAGTTTATTGGCCAAGAATGAGGTGATACATTTCCAGTTTGCTCAGAAAAGAAAAAAAAATAAAAGTTTGAGATTAAGGATTTTTGTTAGTGTCCTCACTAATAACAATGGTACACGTCAGAGTCCTGTCTTCTGTTTATGCAACTGCCACATAAAGAAAATGTCTCGTTAGAAACCTTACCTTGCCAAGTGTACTTGCAGCACCGGGAGGCTGAAGCAGACTGGTTAGGAGATCGATGCCAGTCTGGACTATGTAGTGAGTTTGAGGCAGGCGTGGGTTACTTAGTAAGGCGCTGTCTCAAAAACATTAAAGAAAACCCTTTTTATCTTAAAGTATGTTCAAAAAAGGATTGTAAATAAAAAAGATAAAAGTTGATAGAAACTTAAGATTATTTTCCAAATCAGTGGCAGTACTTACCATTTACTAGAAGTACTTAAAAACCATGCCAATTATTTGATCAACTGTATAGTTTTCTAAAGTGTATATTTTAGTGCCCATAAAGTTTGATATGTTAATATATATTAAGAGAAATAGTCTAAACAATGTCATTTATAAATTCTACCTCAGTTTTAAGGAAACCTTCAGCATTTGCTGCCAGAGAGCCTGCTTGGGAAGCAGAACACAGGAGTAAGTCCCTCTTACCCCTGAAGTTTTAGTCTGGGCAATTGTGATTTGCAGGGAAATGGCCCATCAGCTCATGTATTTGAATACTTGGTCCCCAGCTTTTGGGAAAGTTAGGAGATAAGGTCTCATTAGAGGAGATGTGTCGCCAGGGGCCGGATCTGAGATTCAAGAGACTCTGCAGTTCCCAGTGCTCTTTGTCTCTGCATCGTGGTTGTGGTTAAGATGTAAACCCTCAACTACAGCCTCTGCTCTAGCACCATGTCTGCCCGCTTGCTGCTGTGCTCCCTGCTGAGATGGTCATGGACTGTAATGCTCTGAAACTGTTATCCCCAAATAAACTATTTCTCTTATAAGTATTTTGGCCATGGTATTTTGCCATAGCGACAGAAAAGTAAGACAAGAATAAATCAAACATACCTTTGTTCGATGCAGAATTTGAAAACTGTAAGAAATGAATAAAGATAAAAAAGAAGGGAGAAACCAAAAACCTCCAGCTTCAGCAGCCCTGTGTGAAAAGGCTTGCTTTGGGGAAGCACTTGTGCCTTCCTGCTGGTGGCATCTTGATCTATCTGAGCAGAAGGGTGTGTGCTAAGTCTCTTGTTAAGAACATAGCCACTAGAAGACAAATGGGCATCCTGTTGCATAATCAAAGTAGACCAACTCTTCCAGACTGCCCTGTGGTCTGGTCAATTCTGTAGTGTTTACTCTGCCATGTCAGTATTTATGTGATTCTCCTGTCAAATGTGTGAGCCAGAACATGAGTATAAATTCCCATCACTTGATGTGCCTTGATACCATACTGCCAGAAGCTGCAAGCTCACTCGTTGAGAAATGATGATGGCCTAGATTGGGTCCTGAGTTTGTTAATTGTGTGAAATTGTCTTGTAATTGGAGATTTTGGTCCATAAAACTTCCTTTTCATTATACAATTAAATTAGTGTACATCATTTGCAAAACTCATTAATAACATTTGATTCTGTGTTCTTGTTTGGTTTTTATTCATTTTCAAAATCTATTCTGTGTTCTTGATGTAAAGTCGATCAGAGCTATTAATGTGAGCCTTTGGAGTTTTAAGCTCTGCTCATCAACTTGTCTCTGAGCTGCCTACTTAGATGATGCATTTCCTACAGTTAGAAATTATTATGTTGATTTCATGCAATTGACCCCATGTCATAAATGATGCCTGGGCTGAGCGGGATGAAAGAGAATAATGATGTTGAAATCCCAGTTGGAAACTGTGTGAGGTATGTATTTGTGCCTGCATCCCTTTGAGGTGTACTGTTTATAGCATCCTGTCTTCACATAATTGTTCAGAAAGAAAAAGAAAGGAAATGTGGTTTACTTTGTAGTGTATAGCAACCACTCCTTTAAAAAGTAGCCTTGGAGGCACCCGAAGGGTTCGTCTCACCCTTTTGGACATCTGTCATTCTTCACAAGGCAAATTCTGTCTCCTAATACAGCTCCTCTCTGGGTTCCGAAGGTAAGGCTCTCTCCACAAGACTCCATCTTGCTGCCTCTTGTGTGATTTCCGTCTCTGCTAATGCTGTCCCACTTCAGTCATGGCTCGTGACCCTGCGGCTGTCGCTCCTCCTAAGTCTCGTCTTTAATGGGGTGGGGTGAGCTGCAGAACAAATGATGAGCAGTATCTAGGCATTTCCAAGTCATTATTTTGAGTTAAAGAAACCAGATGTAAAGACCATATTTTTTTATTCTATCTATATAAGATCCCAGAAGAAGTGAACCGAAGTGACAGCTGGCCGGTGGGAAAGGAAGAAGAGAGGGTTCTAGGAAATCTTTTGATGGTGGCAGGTCATTTTCTTGATTGTGGCAGCTGGCTCACAGATACAGTATATATTAAGATCTATTAGAATGTAGATGTAGCATATTTGATTTATGCTGGAACAGTTTTCTGTTTCAGAGTAAAATGACTGCTTTTCCGGGCCTGTCTGTAGAGCTCTTACCTTCTTTGAATGCAATGATGGTCTTGGGGATGGTACATGTACTTACCAAACAACAGAGTCTGAGATGAAGAGACCTAAATAATAAAAAGGAAAAAATTAGCTCAAGAAACCCAAGAGAATTATTATTTTTGAACAGAAGAATTAGTATGTACATAACTAAGGACAGCACTTGGACAAGTACTGCAGCGCAGCTTGTGTCCAGTCTAATGGGAGAAGAGTTAGTCAATCTCTCAAGGCTTGTTTTGTTGCTGTTTTTCCTGTTGGCAGCTTGATTTGTGCTGTGAAAATGCATTGCCAAAGATCATCAAATCCTACAGTAAATTTGACTTGAAAAAATATATGATGAACAGTATTTCTATTTGAATTTTAAATCTGAATTCAAAAGTTCATAGAAATTATTTTTTAAAATGTCCTTGGCACGGATGCTGAGACGTGACGAACTGGACTTACTGCATACATGACTTAAGTAAAATAGTCCTGGACCACTGCTCTAAGAGCAGCGTACATGTTGCCTGTGCTGAAGTAGTTGCTAAGGCGCATGATCAGCCTCGCTGTAGCGATCAGGGTTGTGATGACTTACCGTTCTTAGCACTCTGGTCTAAACAGTATGGCCTCCATGTGTAAGTGTGCTCATAGGAACTTGGTGTGAACTTGATGTGTAGCTTCAGAGGTTTATGTTGACAAAAATCAGAATTTTATACTCATTTTTGTTTGTCTTTTTACTTTAGCTTCCATTGAAGATCGATATCATCAAGCATCCAAATGAAACAGACGGCAAAAGCACCGCTGTGCACGCAAAGCTCCTGGCGCCCAACTCCGTGAGCATCTACACATACCCGTGCATCCCCGAATACGAAGGAAAGGACCATGAGGTGGGCGGCTTGGCGCTTGGAACTCCATCTCCTTTCTGAACTTACTTGAACTTATTCTTAGCAATCTAGTGTTGTGCTCATTTATTGCTAAATATGCATTTTACTTCAATGATGTTTTCATAGTGTATGTCTCTATATAATTTGAATTTATTTAGAAAGTTATATCTAGAAATCACATCTGAGTTTGATCTAGTAATATGTTTGTGTATTGTTCTCTGGTCAGTTAAATACCATTTATTTGCTCAATTAGGACACACCATTATACTCTTTATACATTTCTAAGAGTTTCACTGTGTAGTCCATGCTAGCCTTGAGACTCAAGATCCTGTTGTCTTAATCTTGTAGGTGTCAGGCCTACAAGTGTGTCTCACAGTCTCCACTATATTATACTATTGTATAATACCATCAGTAATAGCTGTAAAAAACTACACCATTCCTTCACCTGCTTTATTTCTTTTCTCTTTCCTTATTATACAAGTGAAGATAGTATCTAGTCATTGAATAGTTTCCAGTGATTGTCTTTAGAAAGTATCATGTATATTGCCTTTTATTCTCTTTGGCTGGCCTGTAACTCTTAGGAAGCCCAGGCTGGCCCTGATTTCATGCCCCTGCATCTCTAGTGCTGGGATTATAGGAGTATAGCACCATACCACAGAAGTGTGTGTGTGTGTGTGTGTGTGTGTGTGTGTGTGTGTGTGTGTGTTTAATTCAAGATACTGCTAAGTTGACTTTGTCAATTAGTGAATACCTTATTTTGAATTAACATCTCCACGTAGTATAATATGATTATATGCTATTAGGAATAAACTAAAACTTTGCCATATATGGAAGGAAACAAATAATGGAATCAATGTAGTGCTTATTTTTTAGACATTTAGCATCTCTTTTTCTTAGAGTTTTAAGTCAGAATTTATGTTGAAGATCACAGCAGCATTGGGCTAACTTGAGTTTCTTTGTTTTAGGTTGTACTTGTTTTTCCTGGGCCTCAGTCCATCTCAATAAAAGATGTCTCTTTTCATCTGCAACAAAGGATTGAAAGTAAAAGTAGAAGCAAAGCTGATGACCTTGATGTGCCCCCCTTTAAACTCAAGAGGACTGAGGCGGAGGGGGGTCCGGCACTGAAAAGAGTGGTCTTTATTGACAGCACCTGGAGCCAGACAAACCAGATAACCTCTGATGAGCGCCTTCGGGGTAAGGCAATGTGCTGGGGACCTTCCTTGATAGGTTTCCTTTAGAAAAACTTCTCATTTGTATCTCCCTGTAAAGAAAAGGTACATTCAACGTTCACATTTGCTCCGTTTCTCTTCTCCATTTCTGTATTATATGTGTGTTTATGTGTGTTATGTGTGTTTATGTGTGTGTTTATGAATCTATGTACTTGATGGGTGGAGTCATCTTAAAGTGAGCAGCAGGCTTTGCACAAGTGTGCTCTAAGTACTATTGCTCGTTTTAACAATAAGGACACTCCTACGTAATAAATACAACACTGTTACCACTCCTAAAACAATAACAGAACTTGTACAATATCTGACATACAGTTGATCTACACATCTCTCTGATTACAGTAATGGCTTTTGTAACACTTTCCCTGTAGTACCTGCACTAGGAAACGGTATGTGAGCCGGGAAAGGGGCTGGAGATTTAAACACACACACACACACACACACAGACACACAGACACACAGACACACACACACACACACACGGCGTGGTGGGGGAGGAACACGGGTCATCCTTGAAACAAAATGCCCCCCTTTATTGTGTTCCAGGGCAGTTTATATAGGGATCCTTAACTGATAGCCACACCCCAGCCAAACTCACCAGAAACCACTCCCCTGCCATCAGGAGCAGCTGCAAGCATTGGAAAAACAAGTTATTTACAGGAAATTCAGGGTCTGAGGTTCACGTTTCCCCCAACATTTCCCCCGACACAGCATTTTAAGTTGGCTTTTAAATGCTTGTATAGCTTTAGTTTCTTAATCTAGAACAGTTTCCTAATTTAATTTTCTTTGATTTAGATTTTGGTAAAGTAGTTGGATTAGTTATTTAATATCTCTTGATTAGACTCAGTCTAGATATTTTGGTTAACATACTTTTTAGATTAAAATTTATGTGTGTATATGTGTGCATATACATATAGGAGCCCTTGGAGACCAGAAGAGGGCGTCAGATCCCTCGGAGCTAGAGTTATAGGTAGTTGCAAGCTTCCTAATGTAGGTACTGGGACCCGAACTTGGGTCCTGCACATGAACGGGAAGTGCTTTTAACCACTATTCCTTTTCCCCAGACCCATAGTTAGGGTACTTTAAAGAAAGAATAAATCCAGGCTTGTCTACAGCAGGTCCAGTTCGTATCTGTCGTTTTTTTTGTCCTTATTGATAGTGTGTCCTCTCCCTATCATTCCATCGGTTGTCTGGTTGAACAGTTCATGCATGTTGAATTGAAGTTATATACTTACCATTGCATTAAGTCGGGAAGCATATAAAACAAGTTGTTTCCATATTTATAATTGACTACTAATGATGGTGATGATTGCCGTCTCTCTCCACCATAAAGGTTTGTTTTCCTTTAGTATACTGGCGTAAAGCTTTCAGGCTGTAGACTTTCTCTGCAGTGTTTAGTATTCATGGATCAAGCAGTCATTATGTTGAGAAGAGAAAGTTTAGTCCTGCTCCTTCTTCCTGTGTTAACTGGCCTTTTTGTCACTGGCCTCGGTTGTTTGGAGTAGGACTGGCCTCAGCAGGTGCAGCAGAGCATCTCAAACCTGCTTTGACTTTCTTTCTGACACAGACTTGGAATCAGCATTTTCTTAAAGACCTGTGGTTTGTTTTGCTAGGATCTGAGACTAGAAGCTGAATTCTGTCAGTCGATCACAACAGGCTGTTTCTTCAGTGGACAGAGCCGAAGAAACATTAGGTGTGCGTACTGTGAGTTCACAGTGGTGGTCCAGCTCAGTTTAGTATTATTACTTCTCTCTCTATGCCTTTTATGAAAACAGTTCCTATGTTTATAAGTGTTTATGTGTATATGTAATGCATGTGTGTATGTGTATGTACATGTGTTTATGTGTTATGTAGGCACATGCATGCCACTGAATGTACATGGTGGTGAGAGAATGCTGTCTGGTGCCCCCTGTTCATTGCCCCAGACTAGCTGACCTAAAGCCTCTGACTGTCCCCTTTCTCTGCTTCTACTTCCATCTCACCAAAGCTGTTGGGACTGTAGCTGTGTGCTGCTACATCTGCCTTCACCCCGATTCTGGGATCTACTCAAGCCTATGGTGTTATACAGAAAGTGCGTTACCCGCTGAGCCCTCTCCCGGCCTCAGGTGTATGTACTACAGTATTACCCACTGAGCCCTCTCCCGGCCTCAGGTGTATGTACTACAGTATTACCCACTGAGCCCTTTCCCGGCCTCAGGTGTATGTACTACAATATTACCCACTGAGCCATCTCCCGGCCTCAGGTGTATGTACTGTACAGTATTACCCGCTGAGCCATCTCCCGGCCTCAGGTGTATGTACTGTACAGTATTACCCGCTGAGCCATCGCCTGGCCTCAGGTCCAGGTGTTATGTGGCATTACACGCTGAGTCATCGCCTGGCCTTGGGTCCATGTGTTGTGCGGCAAGTGTGTTAGCCACTGAGCCATCTCCCGGCCTCAGGTCCGTTTGCTGTGCGGCAAGTGCATTACCCACTGAACCTTCTCCTGGCCCTGTATGCCTTTTTACTTGAGTGAAATGCTGAACTCCTAATAACAGTTTAAATGTAACACAGCCAGTAATCTGAAGTCCAGGCATGCACACTGTTTCTCTTGTTTCTTTGTACCTTTCTCAGTTCTTCCAACATTCTCAAGGTTTCTCTAAAAGCTTTAGGATTTTTCCCATTATTGAACAGTTTGTGACTAAGAGACAAGAGAGCTGTGTGGTTGGTGTTGTGTGGTTGCCAAAAGGTCCCTCAAGAAAAGATTACTACAATCTTAATCATTCCCAAACTAAAGAAAGTACGAAGTACATTTCACTGGCTTAATTAAATTGTTAGATAACTAGTTAGTTTGTACCTGTGGGTCACAAGACTTTGAAGGATTTATTGTTATTTAGTAGATGAATCAGTACTGCCCTGTGCTTTGAAGAAGAGAGATCACTGCAGCAAGTTACTCCTCAGTCTAAAGATTTTTCTGGGACATTTTTCTTATTACCTTATATGGTGAACTCTAGGTTCAAATGAGTGAATACAAGTGAAAGTCCCCAAAATACCTATAAACGGAATTATTCTGGTACTATTTAAAGTCATTTTGCTTAGGTTTGCCTAAAATGAGATTTTACTAAAGATTGTTTACTCCTTCCTGATTCCCATAGAAAGCATGCCTCTCACTTCCTGCTAGTTCAGAATCATGAAATGCGTCTCTAAAAGTAACTCTCTGCATGTCCTGATTTAGCCCCTGTCTCCTCTGCCTCCTCAGGAATAATAGGGGTGGGACATAGTTACATATTTCTGAATAAACCAAATTGCCTCTATAAGAAACAGTCCGTGAACAGTTGTGACTTTTAGATCTTAAAACACTTTGATTTGATTGAGCTGAGTAAGCCACACTTTACCTCCCAGATGTCTGTACTAGGAGTTCTGCCTCCATTGTGGTGTTGTGAATGCTGAATTAAGAATCACTGTAACAGACTGTAGACTTGGCTCAGTGGTCAAGCCATGGATTCAGTTCCCAGCACCCACATGTTAGCTCACATGTAACTCCAGCTCCAAGGGATTCAACACCCTTTTCAGAGGCACGCACGTGGTATGCACTCATACATATGTACAGGCAGACACACACATACACATAAAATAAAGCAAATAGACTTAAAAAGTTACCTTACTAGTGGAATGCACTGTGTGTCCAGTCATTTATCAGCTTGCATTAGGTTGATGCAGTACTGAGCCTGTCACGTTGAACTCGTTTCATGCAGTTGATCCCCTGGCTATGGTGCCCTAGCTGCTTGTGCTCCTGATCTCATGGTGACTGGCAGCTGTTCCTCCCTGCTACCCGCAGCGTCTCAGCATATTGTTACAGGGTACATTGCCACACTGAGAAACGATGTACATGACATAGAGCCCACTACGTTTACGAGCTCATCAGTCATTTACTCTCAGTACTTTGACCAGATTCATCTCTGCATTGACGGTAACCATCTGTGAACAGGAGCTTTGCCAGGCTGAGAGCAGCACTGGTCTCTTCGTCTAAACAGAAATATTCAGAAAGCTGTCTGACAACATGTTCCTTTAGGGAAAGCACAGTAATGTGTTCTTTCCTTTGGTCACGTTTTCCTCAGCCATACGCTTTTGACCAAGTTTCAAGTATCAAGTGTGTGTTCTCTCCCATGGAGTGGGCCATAGACTTAGTCACAGAGAGGTTGGTGAGCCTCCAGATAGTCCTGTCACTATCGCAGCCATAGGCATGTCTTGCTTGGCAGCTTGGTATTACAGTCCACACAATCCAAAGTGAGTGAGCAGCCTGAGCAGCAATCCCAGCACTGTCCATGCTAGCCAGCAGGGAAGACGAGTTCACGCTGTACCTCTGGCTGGTCTGGTACCCACTCTGCAGCCTACGATGGCCTCCAGAGCTTTAAAGTCACCGAGGTACACTACCACACATGAGTTTTTCTGTTTTTTTTTCTTTTTCCCTGAAATAAGTTTTAAATTTTTTATATTTTTATTTATTGTGTTTTAAAATAATCCTGTCTGAATTCTTTCTGAGGATTGTGTACATGGCATTTCAAAAAGTTCAAAGCTGGGTAGGCAAGGTGGCTTGGGCCTGAGTTCAGTTCTCAGGACCAACATGGTATAAAACAAGAACTGACTGCTATAGATTTGTCCTCTGACTGCCACCACACACATGCTATAGCACACACACACACACACACACACACACACACATACACACACACACACTATAGCAATAATATAGCACATGCGCACACAGAGAGACAGACAAAAAGATTAAATGAATTAGTTAAAAAGATTCTTTTTTTTTTTTAAAGTTCAAAGTCAACATTTTAAGCTCTCCCTTCAAATGCTCTAAGACTTCCTCCATCTGCACTTGGTTCTGTCTCCTCCTGCTCACATTGCCTGCATGTGTTCATTATTCTGTCTGCCCTTTACTGTTAGTCCACAAATTAGAACCTCTACTGAATACCGTTTTAT